CACTGCACCGCTACGGGCGGCCGTACGCTGGCAACAGCGATTGTCGCCCAGCAACGTCTGTGGGTTCGCAAGCTTGCATATACAGCTACCCTCCTATCGTCAGCCAGCAAAAGGAGATCCCTAGAGGCCTTCGGGGCCCATGCCTCGCCAGCTTGTCCCATTGCTGATTGTACCCCACGGTGGGGTGTGCCCCCTTCGTGCAACACCATTTACCTGCCGGGTTACTCAAATGTGCATGTTTTGGGCTTTCGGGTTGCGTTATAGCGGATAGATGGTATTTACACGACCGACACGGAACCGCAGTGCCCCGGTGGGCGCCCATAGGTAGTTACGCGCGCGTCCAGAAATTTGTCCCAAGAGCTTTGCTTGGCAATTTGGCGTCCGTTATGACGCCTGCCTAGCATTTGGTACTCATTTCAATGCTGGAGTAAGAGTGGGGTCTGCAGGACGACTAGTGGGTCGGAACGTTTCACGTTAGAATGTTTCATTCATAAAAAATGCCAATTGACTTTGAGTAAGACCCGAATACAGCTGGGCATACAGAAAACAGCTGGGCATACAGAAGCGGCCTGCTTGCGGCCGTTCCTATATCATAAATTTCGCGGCACCCAGGTATGCCCACGCGATTCCCGCTCAGCAAATCGCACATGCATATAACCTGTCAGGTCAAAGGGTCATAGCAAACTTGATGTTCTATCGGCGTTCGTCTACCGGCGAAGATAATCCTCTCGTTTCTTGATAAAAAATTCTAGCTATGTTCGTCGGAAGCCAACTTGCAAACCAGACCTCCTGCGTTACTTAACGCCCATTCATTATGAAAATGATAACCATGGCACGCAACATCAATTCCTGTTTCGCAGGGTTGCGCGCAGCTGGGTAAGCAAAGACTTCTACCTATCCCTGCCTTGTAACGGAAAATGAGCATCACCCAGTGCCATTCACATGAATACAAGTATGTTAGAGTTATCATGTTTTGATCTCAAAAGCGCCCATCGCGAAAGAGGGTTGACTGGGTCCCTAGATAGCGTTGAGATAACGCCGTTTCCAAGCAAGAGGCTGACGCACCACGCAAACACAATCTTGACAAGAGAATACTTGGTCGCACCGCGCTTTGGTCGGGCAATCTCTAAGTTTCCGCACACTTGGGCGCGAGGGTACAGTGGTACCTATGCGGAGTTACTGCGGTTTGGGACCAAGACCAATTATGCCAATGTACTTGCATAGTCCGTGCGCATAAAGATCTTACAAGAACCTACGGTCATCCAGTTGGCCGCAAGCCTCCCAGCGCTGTCGATGCCATGTCCACAGGAGGCGAGTCCACGAGCCTTGCCTATATGCCGTTAAACGCTGATGGATTGTGAGCGCCGCAAGAAACGACAGAGACTGCTCCTGCTGGTATTGTTGCTGCTGTTGCTGAGCCGCCGGAGCCGGTGGTATCGCACCGCAAGCAAAGCGTAGAGCCATGCTGATCGCCTCTCTCCAAAGGGGGGGGATCCTAGACGAGTCGCCGGCTGGGTTCAAGCCGCAGTGCATGTGGCGCCTGGGGTTGAAGCACCTTTCTGTCTGTCCCCCAACGGGACCGGGTGTCCTCCCTGGCCGTTTTGGTGGCCAGGTAGCTCCTCCCGAGGTATGGCGGCTGGCGTTAGCAGGGGTTATAGGGGCAGTGTGTGTGTGTGTATGTGTTATTGATAAATTTCTCATCAGCACGGTGCGCCGTCACCCGCTGCGTCTTGTGGCGTCCCATCACCCTGCAGCCCACGAATAAGGAAGGTATCCTACCCCCTACCTAAACGCGACTCTCCTGCCGTACGCCACAGTATGGCACAAGATAAGATTATCGACGTCGAGAAATTAACACTTTGCGATTTACCTACTTGCAAGTCTGACAGAAGACAGGAGCTGTACATTATGATGCAGGAAGTCGCCGTCTCCTGGGGTACACTCAATTCGACACATACTGGGTGCCGCATGTCGGCCCTTGTTGCGTGCTTTGGTAACCCGGGACGGAGCTCTCCTCGTGGCGATGATTCCAGCACGTGGCACCCCCCTCTCGTCCATCCACACGTCGTGACGCCACCCGGCCCAATATGCCCTAGGACCTGCTCCCGGTCCCGAGGGGTCACGATCCTGTACCCCCTGCCAAGCTGGTGGCCTCATCTCCGCGTGAGGAATGGTGCATTGTACGGAGGTTTGGAGGGGGAAATTCATGGGGGAATCATTGCCCGTTGCGGCTTCCCTTGCCCTAGCCTTCCCCGCTGACAGCCAGGTTCTGGCCTCAGCAGCAGACAAAGCCCGTTGATTATATGTCACGGCATATGGCGCTTCTTTCCTACGAGGGCCGGCCGGACGGGCTTCCTTGTATTTCCTTTGGTGTCATGAGGTCGTGCGGTGCACGTTCGGACAACCTACAAGTAAAATCAGGTAATCTTGGCGTCTTGTGTCGAGCCGCCTGCAGACCCGACATCTATATTGTACGGCTTCGTATACTTGACCTCGTTCGCATTTCATGTGTCTGATGTTAATCACCCACGCACGATAAATGTTTAATCTCTTCAGCAGTCTTGGGCCGATTTAAAAATAGTGCGCGAATGGTTTCCAGGAGCTCGTGTAGTCAAGATTTCGCGACTTTACCTGTTTATTGCAATCGGACGTCGTCGCTTTGATTCCTAAATGGTGATTTGGGATTTGCAGGATGTGAAGTGGGTTTGGAGGCAATTCAGGGTTGCGATGGCCTTGCGCTACGCTGCCTTTTTCGTCTCGGCCGTCCTCCTACGCTGTCCTGAAATCATGCTGCACACTATTGGAAATTACTCGATGAAGGTCTGATGAGTGGAGCGCTAGCAGGCGATGCCTTTTCTGCTGTGCCTGTGCAAGGAGGTTGGACACCCCTGACTACCCCAACACAGCGCGCAGCCATAGCATACTTTGACCCCCTCCGCGCACATACCAGGGCATGGAGGGTGGGGGCCCAACAGTGGGGCATAAAAGACACCATAAAGCGAAAACGTGCTCGCAAGAAGCACGCGGAATACGTCTCGCCGTCACAAAACTCGCTTGACGTTCCTACCTACCTGCCTGTCCTTGCTTACCGTCCTGCCTTTTTCCTGCACCACCATGCTGTCTAGCTATCCCTTTCTGGCCAACTACAGGAACGATCATCTGCCATGCTGCAGGGATCGCATTTCGGTCTGTTGTGAGGAAGGTGAAGGCAAGGTTGTATTACCGCAACGTGTCATTATTGCAGCCAAGGGATGTAGGGGGAGACTTGTCGAAGCCCCCTGATCGCAAATCTCTTTCAGTTTGTGCATGATCACAACAAGCAGCACAAACCGCTTGCTGATCAAGTGTTCCGCCCACACACATGCAAGCTCTGTTGTGCTTCTGTGTAACTGAATACGCAACTTTTCAACTGTGAAACTGTAAGCTGGAGCTGCAGCTGCAGAACCATTCCTAGGAAGCAGCTGCTGTACCAGTAGTAGTAGTAGTAGTGTATAGGGCTGATGCAGTGCAAGAGGCGGCGGGGTGCACTCAGGCTGTAACCCCACGTACCGGCCCACTGGTCAGGTCACCCTGATGGCCGGGGCCCCCGCGCAGCTATTGGGCGTTTGAGCAGCTGGGTGGATGGAACGGAGTCCGAAAGAGTACCCCAAAAAGGCATGCCCAACCGCTGTCAGGCCCCACTGGTGCCTGCTTTGCTTTCAGGCAGCGCTATCGCCTTCAGGATTGGGTTCCCCACCCTAGTCGCCGGTCATACTAATCAAACACACGCAATGGCGGGCAATGGCGCGGTCCAGCCTAATGTGCCCTGCCCCAATAGCCGTCACCGCCTAAAGCAGCCATTCCGCAGCTAGCTACCATGTGGCAGCGGGTGAGGGGGTTTCCTGGTACTGGCTGTGACCGTGCTTGGCATTCCAGATAGTGCTGACGCAGGAACTGCGGTTTGGGAGGCAACGCGGTTGATTGGGTCCAACGCGGTTGTTCGGGCAGTCTGGTCGAACGAATAACAATCGGTACCTGCAGCTCTGCATGTGCTGAGCAAATACACAGCACCAATGAACGGCGGTGTTGTGCCCCTAACCACACTGTCAACGGCACTCGTACGGCAGCAGTTTAAATGAATAGCACGTGCAACCGGCAAAACAGGAAAGCGGTCACCTCAACCAGGTGCACAGCATTTAAACAAAACTGCAAGCAGCTGATCATCACAAGCGCTGCTGCCCTAACGCCCAAGAATGGTAGTCCTGACGGTTGTGCTCGTTACACCAACCGATTGATGGGCAATGAGATGCACGTGCCGGGATCTAGGCCTGACGTTGGCCAGGAAAACGGTGACTGGTTCAGGGAGCCTGCGTGTGGGTATGCGTGTGCCCGTGTGTTTCAATTGGACTGAACATCGAGATGTGCAGGATGTGAAAAGGATGCACATCTCTATATGTGTTTGTGTGTCTTTGCACACATGTCGTGTGTGTGTGTGTGTGTCTGTGTGTATATGGAGGGAAATACTTGCGCAAGCACACCACCTGAACCACCTCCAGGAAGTAGGACCGCCCCGAATAAGACCGAAGGGGACCTTCCCGCGGCGGTTTACATTGCACCTTGTGCACTTTAATGTAGCCACTTATATTTTGGATGGGGCTTTTGCAACCACCACCACCTTGCACACCTCTCCATAACTTCCCAAGAGGCCGTAGCCAGTGTTCACCTTCCTGACCTCTATATAATGGCTAGAGGTCGGGTCGGGGGGGATCTGCAGTCGAGAGCTGGTCAGTGCATACCTCTCCTTGCAACCCGCAACCCAACAGCGGTCTTACAGGACCGAGCAATTCCCAGGGGAGTGTGCGCGGGGGGGGCCCCCAATGATGGGGCTCAAAGGAAGGTGATTGGCGGGCCGGGAGCCTGGCGATGGCGGTGTCCGGAGTTCCTAAGGTCCGGCGAGGGGTTCAAGGGGACTGCAAACTGTTTAAAGGGAGATTTCCAGAGGAACGCGAAAAACAGTACCCATGCCAGAGCCCAAGCCGACAAGCAGCGAGGGGTGGTCGGTGGGGGTGGGGTGGGAGGTTGGGGGGTGAGAGGGAGGGCCTCCGTCTGGGATCGCCACTACTACTGCTGCTATTGTTGTTGAGGATGGAAGCCAGCAGCTTGTGTGGCCTTGTCTCACCTTTTACACCAACAGGGCCGGGCGCAGGCCGAGGACAGTGGCGGGGGAGTACGTCCTCGTCCTGATGTCACTACGACTACTGTCAATAGATGTTAAAACGGTACCACCGCGATCTCATATCTCTCCTGGATATTATTTCATGATGAGCGGGGGCAAAAGTGCTGCACCACTATGCCAAATCCAATTGTGGCGTAAGGAGGCGGCACCAAGAGCAACAGAGTTTTGAAGGGTGGCAGTAGGTGCAATTGCTCAGGTTGTGTCAGGTCTCTGGCTCTGCTGCGCGCCTCTCTCCAAAACGCCAGTTGAAGCCCAAAAAGTGTTGATAACTTACCTTGCCAGCGCAGCGCCGTTCACCGCCCCGGAAATCAGGAAATCGGACTCCCTAGCTCCATGGCCAAATACTCAGCCCCGCCTCTGTTTCGCATTCCGGGTTATGCATCTTCTGAATAAAGAAGTTCCCCAGGCAAGAACCCGGCCGATGGGCCGGGCCGCATACAAAGCACAGCCTTGCCGTGCCATGAAACACCAGGCGCTCCGTATATTGCATCCCAATAGGCAGGAAGAGGAGTAAAGAATGTCACACATTGCAGGACCCCATTTCACTCTTGCGGTCTTCTTGGGTAGCCAACGCAAGGGGTCCTTGGCCAAGGCCCTTGGGCCTCTTGTAAAACTTCATCCCGCCATCGATGCTGGAAGCCCTGGCTACGTGGGGTGTGGCATCGAACAAAACACCCCTACGCAACGTCGCGACTGCAGATATCACTTTGCCGTAAAATTATAACCGAATGCGCATGGCATGGATGCAATTGACCTTATAGCCTATGTTACGAAGTCTCTGTGCCGCGATCTGGCCTGAGGGCGCAGTCAGCGAACCCATTGCTAGCCTAGAGTGGGTCAAGCACAATAGCTTATCAATTGGTCATCCTAATACTACCAATGTACAAAGCTTGGGCTCAGTATGGTGGGGTGAAAATTTCATGTTATGACATAAAAGATTTGAATGCTGTCCGTGTAGGAAAGTCCATAATCGTACATGTGGCGAAACCAGTCTCTTCGGAAGTGTTTGCATCCACATACCGCATCATCTCCGTCCACCGTATGTACCAGGGCCTCTCCTTACTAGCTGACAGTTGTCATTGCGATATTTGCAGCACATTTTTGGACTTCGCCTCGCTTGACTACAATATTCAGGCACTGCGTACCTACTATCACTTACTATCTTTCATGTATTGAAGCACGGATAACATGCCACACGTGTCTGAGTGTGCCATTTCGTTGGCTTTTCTTCTGAACTTTGCACGGAGCGTGCCGAATGGGTCTAGGACTGCAGACGTTGTCCAGCAAATAATCATACCTGCCACGAAAGATAGGCGCTGCCGATATGTGGAATTGCCTTCGGTGCCACAGGCCGCGGTTGGACCAGCACGATACTTCATCTCGCACCGTTGGGCAGCTGACTTCACACGTGAGCTCGTCACGCTCGTTGCTGAGCATTTTGCAGATGACGTCGATGCATCGGCAGCGAACGCCAAAAATATACCGGTTTCAGCAGCGGGACCCTGTGTACCGGCTCCGCGAAACACATCCTATGAGCAGTTAGGATTTGCCAGGGCCGCTACTCCAATCGCCGCCCCCACTGACTCCCCCACGGCAGCGTCTCCAAGTGCCATACAAGCTGGCTTCCTGGAAGGCGAGACTCCTGTGGGGCCCACAGGAGGTGATGACCCTGCTACGTGCGCCGGCATCGCCGGCCGTGGCGCCGCAGCAGCTAGCCACGACGAGCAGCCGCAGATGCCGCGCCCACCGCCACCGCCACCGCCACCCACGCCGCCTGCACAACCGCAACAGCACCAACAGCGGTTAGGCAGCAGCACCGATGACAAGCTCCGCCATAGCTTGAGCTACAGCAGTGGCGGCGGTCCGACATCCCGGAGCACGTCGTCGGGGGTGGCGGCGGCGGCAGCGGCAGCCAACGCCCTGGCCAGCCCTTTCTTGACCCGGCCGCCACACTCCGCCGCTGGAGGCGGCGGCACCGCCGTCGCCCTCAGCGGCAGCCCCTCCGTACAGCTTACCTCCTATGGCAGTCAAAATGGTCCAGGGAGGTGTAGCGGGCCTGTAAGTCCGCAAGTATGTCGGTCTGTACGTCTGAGGGCAGGTGGGATGGCTATGCGGAGTGCCACCACCAGCGATGGCGTTGGCGGCGTGGAGGGCTCCGTTGTGCTGTGCAGACCGGCTTTCGGACAGAGCGTCGACGGCGGCGGCGGCGGCAGCTGCACGGAGGATGGACTTGGGCTGGGTCCGGCCTCCCCGTCGTACTCCGCGCGAGCCGCCGCTGCTGGCGCAGTATCCGCCACCCTGCTCCTTCCTGGCGCCATTAATACATTACCAGCTGACGGCGGTGGCGCTGCCGCCGACGGCACCGAGGCTAGCGCTGGTGAATGTACGGCGCCTGGCGGCGCCGACTACGCTGACGCGTTCCCCGGTTCGCTGAATCCACTTCTCGCTCGTCCAAGCCATGTACGACATCAGTGGCCCCATCAGCGGTTTAACAGCATGAGCAGTCGTTACTCAGGCGGCAGCGCGAGTGCGAGCGGCGGCGGCGAGGGAGCTAGCTTTACCCGCCAAGCCCCCGCGGGCCCGCTACAGCCAACACAGGTGTCGGTGGCAGCGGCGGAGTTAACACTACGCGAAGGTGCAAGTACGGGACGTGTGAACTCACGCGGCGGCGGCGGCGGCGGCGGCGGGAGAGAAACGCCGCCAGCAGCGCCAGTGCTGTTGCCGCCGGCCGCGGCAGCCCCTGCCGGGCCAGTTGCCGTACCGGGTCGGAGAACCGTCACCGGCGTGGTTTCTTGTCCGCCGGGCTACCCCCGTTTGACGTCAGCATCAGGACATACAGATGCACAAGTGGCGACGCGGAGGGCAAGCTCCGTCAATGGGTGTCCGCGGGGGAAGCCACGCGGTGTCGCCGCCGCCGCCAGCGGCTGCAACAGCGCCAGCCACTACATCTCCGAAGCTTCCGACGCCGCCGCCACCGGCGTCAGCATCAGCAGTGACGGGAGCGGCGGAAGCAGCAGCAACGGCGCCGGTGGCGGCGGCGCCGTCGTTACGAATGCCGGCATTGTGGACCGGTTATTGACTCATTTTTCTGGGCGTGAGGAGTTGCTGCGGGACACGTTTGTTTGGTTGGACGTATTCGCGATCAATCAGCACCCCGATGACGGACAGCAGGTGGGGGGGGAGAGGGGAGGGGCGTTGGCCGCCGCAGTGCGTGCATGCATGTGTGTATGTATGTATGTGTGTATGTGTGTGACAAAATGTGGGACAGGGATCTTCGGGATTTGAACGAGAACTAGTAGAACTTGTATGCAGACAGACAGACAGACATGCATACATGCACAGGGGGCCCAACCAAGCGGCGGAGACGGCGGGGATGAGGTTATACATCTTGACTTGGCAGAATCCCCGGAAGGAGGTGTTTTGTGTGAGGTGGGGAGGTGGGGATGGTGCCACACCTCAGTCAGCATGTGAGACACACACACACACACACACACACACACACACACACAACACACGCGCGCGCGTGCCACAAGGTTCGTATCATCAGTTGGAGTGTGAGCATTCCCCCTCTCTTCCCCTCTCTGTCTCCCCCGACTTTCCGCGAGCTCCCTGTCCCGGACTGCCCCCCTCCCTCCCTCCCTCACTTATCGGCGGCACCCGCAGGCCCAAGACCTGTCCCAGCTGCAGGAGGTGGTGAGGCGCGCAGATGCGACCTTGCTGGTGGGGAGGCGAGGGGAGGGGAGAGGAAGGGAGGGGGAAAGGGGAGGGGGAAAGGGGAGGGGGTAAAAGGAGGTCAGCTGCCCGTGTGCCATGTGGTCCTATACACAGATGTACACGCCCGCGATGTCGAAGTCATAACCCCCCGACCCCGGCCCGAACACCCCCCGCCGGGTAGGTGCTGGATAGAGGAGGTCTGGTGCTTACACGTATCTGGTGCCTGTACGAGATTTGGCAAACTGTACGGCAGAAAGGACCCGAGGTACGGCAGGCGTGGGTTACATTTCCCGTCGTACGCGTGCGCAAAAGTGAAGACCGCGCGACTCACGCGCTATGCGGCGGGATGACGTCATGGTGCGTCAGGCGACGTCAAAAACGCGCTGGATCCCTCGTGCTGGAACATAATTGCAACAGCTTTTATAGTTCTGCACCTCCGAGTCATACATACATACATACATACATACTAGGTTAGGCACTACTGGTAACGCGCAACCATTGCCTCCGGGAGATCCCGGGATCGAGACCTGTCAGGGTCGAAATCCTTCCGATGGTGGAAGGTAATAGTGCCCCTTATCGATGGACGGTGGTGACCTGGGATAAAGTTGACTTGTGAGCCGACCAGGAATGGAGTTGAGCCGCCGTCGACCCGGCAGATTCCGTTGGATGCTGGTGGTGGGTGCGGAACCTGAGCGATCCACTGAGAAGTTGACTAGGGTGACTGGATGAGGGTGCCCCGAAATACCGGGGAAGGCAGGGTTTCGCAGAGTAGCTGCCACGGGCGAAGATATGCCCCTCCTGTTTCACACATCATTCATATATACTTACATACTTACATATTTCTCGGTACTCACATATCGGTTGTTGATCCCTCTCGCTGCTTAGATATTAAAGGACAGACGCACAGACAGACGCACCCCTACCTTGGTTACCTCCCCTTCCTCAGGCTCTTCGCGCCCTGACGGGCCCTTTGGAGTTTGAGGAGCTTGTTCGTGTGTGGGGCGAGCTGGAGGTGGAGAGGGCGCAGGTGGGGGG